ATGGTGAGAAATGCATCGCCGTCTACGAATGCAATCGCCGTCTTAGAGTTCTGTTATCATCCGGTGGCCTTTGCCCGCCCTGGGCGACACAGACAGAGGGATTGCGCGATTAGTCGTACGTTGCTGTCGCGTACGACACGTTAGTATTGCGAGGTTTGGGGCATAGTTTGGTACAGCGCACGCACTGGGTCTGAGACTGGCGGTTTGAGCATTAGCATTGTTGAGATTTGCTGCAATTACAGCTGGCCCAATTGCCCAACGTGGTCCTACGACGTCGTGACGCTCGACCATGGGGGTCCATCGTTTGCAAAAAACTCTAATCCCCTACTCCTGTTGTAGCAAAGTGGCGACTATACCAACTCACTCCATGCTCCTCCCATGCACCGGTATCTTCCACCCTTCTTGCATTCCTTCGTCCATGCTTTCTTTCCGGTCGGACCGAATTCCACAGCGCTACGTTTCGCACTCCGCTGCCATCCCAGTGATGACCACGCCGAGTGATCAGGAACCGATCGCCGGGCTCTTCGAAATGGGGCACACTTCCCCTCCCTGGGCGCTTGGAGATGCAAAGGGTCTCGGCTTACGGGTTAGTCATGTGAGCATGGCAATCGTTCAGCGGACTTGCAGGTCGTCGCATCAACTATCGCGCTACTTCGCATGTGGTTGGTCCAGCTGACTAAGATGCATGCAGACTCTGATTGGCGGGTAAAGAGGCCGCTGACTCGTACTCGGCTGGCTTGTGCGGCACATGAACACCCAGACGGTGGTAGTTGTGCATCCCCGGATGCTCCCATTCGCTCCCTGGTTAGCTGCACAAATTATTATTGTTCAATATTGTACAGATATGGAATGGAACGCACGGCATGCAGCGGCAAGATGCGATGCGACATTTCTGCTGCGCAGCGACAACGGAACGGATACTCATTTCGCAATCTACCCAGATATCATCTGATCCATAGCGACATCGGGACGGAGTCTAATTGCTTCACTTCACTCCCATTGGCGCGGAGTCTTCCTTGCACCGCTGAATCAGCGGAACTGCCCGGGCAGTGGGCAGAAAAAACCGCAGTATGTCCTTGCAACCACACTACGAGTTGCTTTTCCTGCACGCCATTGTGCGTCTTGCAGCGGCATACCTCAGCACGGCTTGAATTTCGGGACGTCGTGTGGCTGGCATGTGCATGCACCGTTACACCGGACGCGCGCGCCGTCGCTGCGCAAGGCTGCAAACGTCCAGCGTTGCACTTGAAAAAGGACTCGTGATCCTAGTCTTTGACGGTTCGCGGTATCAATCGTGACGACGCCTTTTGCTTTTGAGCCTTGCGTTGTCGAAGAACGCCTGGCCCAATCATATCCGGCATGGCCAACTCGATCCTCGCGTACTTCAAAAGCCGCGGCTGGGGATACACATCGCGACGCGCGATCGCAAAGGCTGCAGTTGGGAAAGGGAATCGTATGCCGAGGCCAATAATTGCAGCCACAAACTAACCTTGCCGTCCAATCGCCTCGCCTATGTATGTAAAAAAAAAGCAGAGATACATCGTAATCGTTCTTTGCGCTCGAATGCGAGCGGTGATCTACTGCAATCGGTGTGCCACAAGCGCAGCTCCGTTCCCTAGGATCCGGATGCGCGGATCGCCTTCTCCCGTTCAGGGTCCTATCGATACACGCCAGTAAAGCCTCTGGATCCTTCACCTTCCTGCGTGTTATGCGCTGAGCCGAATCTTGTCCAAGCGATGGAGGTGCGGAAACGTTATGTTGTTCTGATCGGTGTACTCCGAATAAGAATTATTCCTGCATCTGGATTATCACTTCTGCGTTGGTGGCTGCGAGTCACCATCCGAGTGATGTGGCTGATTACCGGGTCATGTAATCTACCCGTGGACGCTGCATATCCAGAGGCAAACGCGACTTCACTCCTACACATACTCTCGGGAATACACTGCCGTGTATGGATACTATCGGAATTGTTTTTGGCGACCCTATTCCCGTTGGGTATTCCTTTGACAATGGTAGCATACGAGCCCAGGACAGTTATTGAGCCAGCGGCAAGATCGCCCATCGAGTTCATGCATATATGGTAGCATTTGCTCTCTGGTATAGTAATTTTTTTTTCAAGACTCACATAGGATAGAGCAATAATCCGTTGAGTCCGAATTGTCGCAAGTTTACAACCATTCCAGAAAATTCGCAGAACGACGACACATTCTAGATTCCAATTTTCCAGCTTCAAGTCCGACTATGAATTCGCTATCAAATTCCGAAGCCAATCAAAGCAAACCCACGAGAGGCGTCGCATTTACATACCGATTAAATCACTTTACCGTTCAAGTTCGAAAGCCAAGCTGCCAACAGCTCTCTTATGCAAGTCGCTGTCGTCATAGCGGTCTCGCCTATTCCATGCATCTCAATATCTCACTTTAACCACCCCGGACCACCACCTACACCAGATGTTTATTTCCTTACCCGGCCCTGCATCACCATTACATATCCTCGGGCTCGATGCCGTCTCCCCGCTTACACACGTCCGCGGAGACTACATCTGCGTAGCTGCATACGGGACGAAGCTTGAACGTGGCAGAATCTAGCGTTATGCAAGTACGGTTGATGCAAGGTTCAAAGAGGATGAGGGTGGCAAGAGACATGAAAACGAAGTACCTTCGATGCCCCGCTGTCCTCCAGTACCTCGCCAACTCCGTTCAGCCTCATCTCACACCAAACAAGAACATAGCCACATACGTCTTACTCAGCAACTAACTCTTCAGCCTTCTGAGCGACTTCGGTAAACTCACTTTAGATGGACAGCTTTCCACCCATCTCCACTTGCCAAAGTCGCTTTTACCCGTTTTACCAGGACTGGCGAAGGCTGCGTTCCGACTTCCCTTTCTGATCATCAGACAATCCCGCATCGTTCTTTCTCTCTATAAAAATTGAAGCAAGGAACCCGCTCTAACCGCGCCCCGCGGAGAGCTTGATGGATTGGACATATGATGACCAAAGTACATCACGAAGATCAACGCCATCGGGTGTAGCATTTCTCCGTAGATGCGTAGTGATGACTTGCAGATATGTTGCGCGTCGCTTACCACGCGAGGATATATAGCAATAACCACGACGACATCTCCTTCGGCATCTGCGGCATCTTCGGCAAAGCCACGGAGTACACATCCCCCCTTCCCGTCCATCTCCACTTACCACATTCGCCCTTGTCCGATGCACTAGGACCTGCAGTCACCACATCCTTTTTTCCCTTTCCGTTGAAGATTCTACGTCAATTTTACATGAATGCAGGGGGCTTCCGCTAGCTGAGCCGCCGGGAATAACTTTTAGACACTGGGTATAACGCCTCGCGGGCACGAACTGCTCAATGAGGCGTTTTTTCTTCTTTTTTTTTGCCTGCTTGACCACGTCGCTGGTGAGCATGCGGGCCAAGAGCGAGCGCATGGCGCATAGATAGGGCATAGACACGGGCGGACTCGGGACAGGGGGGTGATTCCTTGTAGAGGCTTTCACACGCAGCGTGGCTTGTCGAGCGAGTATAGACGGGACGCCGTACGGAGATTGAGTAGGGCTGTGGTGATGACTTGCAGATGTGCTCCGCGGCGTCGCTTAGCAAGCGAAGGTACATGTGTGTTGCCGATTTGTACTGTCGCGTGCGTTTTTGCATACATGGCTGGTCTTCGATGAGCTCAGCGTGGGAGTTGGGACTTTGCCGCGGAGCGCCCGTAAGCTGGGAATGTTGGGGCTTGAGGAAAGCAAGTGCGGCAGTGTTTGGTGAATGGATTGGTAGAGATGTACATGCAGAAGATATCTGCACGACGGTTTGCAGTATCTTGTTGTCGCTCTTAGCTATATGTATACGGATTGAGACTACAAGAGAGCTTCCAATATACTCCTTCACGCCACGGTCTCTATGTTCTTTTGACATCATACTATCTAGTGTGTTTGCCAAAAAAAAAAAAAAAACTATTCGTGTTCTCAGGGCTTCTACAAGTCGTATAGTCTGCTGCTCGTAGTGCTTAAGACCTATATTTTAAGTAGAGAATTTCCTCGAAAGGGAGATCCACGGTTCCAAAAGAAGGAAAAGGTCTTGAGCCTTTTGCAATTGCTCTTAACATTTTCATTCCACTACTTATCCACACTTATATACACATCCACATACGTACGCCTAATTGACGCACTATCTACAATATCAATCCCCAAGTCTGGGTCAAAGGCGCACTCTATCGTTGTTGATGGATAACCAGTCAGTGTAGTTCAGCCCAGCAGCGAGGAGCTGCACCCATTCTGTTGCAAAAAACGACAGACTCGATAAGTTTGGAAGAAGCCGGTCCAGTGTAAAAGACGAGATAAGTTGCCCATAGATTTATTAGACATTATCTTGTCGCTGTAAGGCGCCTCTTCATCTACTGTACTATTGTGAGACGTAAAAGAAAAACATCAACGACTTCTTATAGCTAACCTTAGCTTACTTATCGACACCACAACCCCAGAAAGAGATTATTTGGTGATAACACCTACATCATGACCTTCATATCAAGACTCCCTCCACGACACCATACCATACCACAACAACTGCCAACTCACCAAACCACAACATCACATTAAACGTCTTGACCTCACCCTGACGACAATAACCACAAAGATTGAAGCTTACACAACGCCGAAGCGCGTATCTATCCATTTATACAAAAGCCACACAACTATGCTCATTCTATTTACTCTTCTCATCATCCATTTCGATTCCATCTTCGCAACGTAAACGTGGCATGACGCTGGAAATCTGCCAGAAGGCCAGATCGATGTCAACCAAAACAGCATACAGACTTCAACGACAACCCACAAACGCCAGAGAAATGCCAACCAAACTCGCTATCAGCAACCATGCATTTCTTCAACCTTTTTTCCCCTTTTCTACCTCACCACCTCACCACCTTCACCTACGCGGAGTCAATCACAATCACGAAAACTCAACGCGACTCCCCCCCAACCTCGCCTGCTTAGCCTGCGCCCTTTCCGCCCTCCTTCTCCTCCTATTAGAATCATAATTACTAAGATCCGTCTCAGTCCCATACACCGGACTACTCAGCACCGTATCCGCGGCAGCCGGAATAGGAGGCGGAGGAGGGAAGCCAGCCTGATCAGGCGCTAGATGCTGTTGCTGGCCATTACCGAACATGGGAGGAGGGCCCGGCGGAGGCGGGGGAATACTAGCTTCAGGCATGCGCAAGGTGCTCGAACTAGGCATGGGCATAGGAGGAGGAGGAGCACCACCACCAGACTGTTGAGCCATTTCCGCGGCTTGAGCAGCTTCCATGGCTTCGGTTCTGCGCCAGCGGTCGCCGCCGACGCCGCTCATGGAACTTACGCTGCCGGCGCGGTTTTTGCGTTGGCGTTCGCGGCGGCGGGCTTCGCGTTCGGCGGCGGCTTCTTCTTCGTTGAGGCGGCGGAGGGTTACGTGGCGGCCGTCGTTGTGCATCTTGACTTTGACGGATACGGGAGGGGAGGCCACGTCGTCTCTGCTGCCGCGGCGTTCCCGTTTGGTGGGTGAGCCGGCAGAAGTGACTGTGGCTGCCGCTGCCGCACCGGCGGGTATTATTGGAGCGTCTCCCGTGCGGCGTCGGCTGTGGTGACGGCCTCCCGGTGAGTCATAGGCTTCGGAACCGGAATCTGACAGGACACTGTAGACACCGGCGCGAGGGGGACGACTGGGGTTGGGCGTGACGGTAGAATCCATGGGGCGAGATGGGCGCTGCGCTACTGAGGGCGTGATACCGGTCATATCGCTCTCAGACAGAATGGTGGACGGCGGTCTATGGCCTCTCCTTGGAGGTGCTCCATCACCCGTGTACTTCTTGCGGCGTTGGCTGTTCATGCGGGCGACCCGTTCCTCTTCCAGATCTTGTTGTCTCATCTCTTCCACGCGGTCGTCTTCCTTCTTCTTGCTGCGTTTGCTGAGAGAATGCTTCAGAAAACCGACGACTCCCATCGTAGCGACACCCTCCTTTAGTCCATACTGCCGATCCCTAGGCCTCATCTCAGTTTCTTCACTGAGGCTTGTCCGGCTATCGAAAGAGTCGATGGAGGTAACACTTCCATTTGTGCGGTGACCAGGTCGCATAGCACTTCCAGACAAAGCCGATGCTTGTGGGTTGTCTCGACGCCAGTCGTTTCGACGGTTTGCTGGAGATTCGGGTGCCCTTCCTTCCTCGAGCCTGGAGATATCTGTCTGAGTGACTTCGGATGGTCCCAATGGGCGGCTATAACTGAAGTCGCTCCCTGTCTCGGTTGGAGGATGTTTTGGTTTGCGATTGAATAGTTTCTTGACGGCGAAAATACCACCAGCTGCAGCGCCAACTCCTAGGAGCTTGTCCTTCCATGTGGAACCTTTGTTGCCATCGGCACGGTATTTCTCATCGCTCAAGTACGATTCAGTGAACTCAGAGTCGGCGACACGAGAGCGGGAATCACGGCGGGACCGAGAGTCGGGTCGGGAACTCAGAACTGTGCCACCGTGCCTGCTGCGGGTGCGGCTTCGAGATCTTCTTGACCCCAGCGCAGCTAATCCTGCACCGGCTGCTCCCGCAGCTGCAAGCTTTCCAGCGCCAGGGCCTCTGCTCGTGCGTCGACTTATCCTGGTACTGTATGAGCGGTCGGTGATGTAGGTGCTACGGTCATCAAAGTCCATCTCGGGCTGGGTCCTGTAGGAAAGGACGAAGTAGAGGATGACTAGGATGAAAGTCCATACTGCGAAAAGGATGAACAAGGCCAGTGGTGATCCGTATAGTGTCAGGCCAAGTGGGATCTGAGCAAGTCCAAGCAGTGCGATAGTGCGGCCTAGCCATTGATGAACCTATAAATGTCAGTCTTCGCTATACTTGCGCATGTTGTTCACTCACCATAAGCTTAAGAGGGATCTTGAATCGCTCCTTGCCCTTTTCTAATTTATGAATGAGAGCGCCACCAAGGAATTGGACCATAACAAGAGTGTACAGCGCAACGCCGATGCCGTGGTGAGGGTTGGTCAGAGACCTCTCGAGGCCAACAGCTTGGAAGCTGCAGACGATGGCAGCAGTCGAGAGTAGGACTGCTGCTACCTGCAACCAGATGTGGACTCGCAAGGCGGTTCGTGGGTTGCGATGGTAGAAGCGAGCCATAAAGATAGCTGCCGGTATTACGAATAGGAAAGCAATGACTGCTAATACACCGTGGGCTATGATGAGAGCCTTGTAGCTGGCCATGCTGCGGAAGCGATTGCCCATGCCTGAGTAGTCAGTCTCTGTAGTCTTTTTTAACAACGAAGATTCTTACCATTCAATCGCATCGTCTCAAAGTTCGGGGCTTGCAAGTTGGGCAGCAGAAAAGTGTTGCGCTGCGAGTCCCATGTGCCATCTCCCACATGCATCGTGGCCGAGTCGTAGACGCTCGACCCGGGGTCCGAGAGTTGGTTCGACATTATCGCAATAATGTTCGGTTTCGCGCTCAATGGCCAATTCCTTCAGAACAGTCGTAAAGTAGGTGCGTAAGTCGTTAAACACACCAGGCTGACGGACGAGGTAACGACAGAAAACCGGAATCTCGCTAACAACGCAGGCAAGCAACAATACGTGGAAACAGAGAGTCGTAACGTCGTGACAGGCGTAAGAATAGCGAAAGTAGGCCGGAACGAGGTGGTAGTCGTGTATTCGTGTAGAGCGTGTCCGGTTGGACAGCTCGCGGTGGTGGGGGAACGTCAGCTCCTGGCGCCGTGCAATGGACGTCGATGGGAAGAAGCGGTTTCTCTGACTGCAGGGAGCGAAAGTCTTCTCTTGGGTGCTGCAGCTGCAGATGTCACGAAAGGATGGAATCGGTAGCCAGCTCAATTAGCTCGTCGAGGGCTCCACCAGCCGCATGTTTATGGGTGGAATGGCCTGGCAACGTAATCGATAGGTTGAAGGGCGGTGAGTGGCTGGGGCCGGCCAACCACAGCCCGCCGCACCCCTGCACCCAGCCGCCCAGATTCTGAGACGACTCGAATTTCTGGTTTCCGAGGCCGATTGATTAGCTCGGCACGCTGCTCTTGGGCGCGCATGCGCTGGCAGTGAGGCGAACCGTCGCTAGGCCTTAGGGGACATGCTCAAGCACCGTGTTCGCAGGTGCATGGCCACGAATTAGAACACGGATTAACACGAGTCGATCGCGCAGAGAAAAAGTCGTTTCAAGCAGTGGTATCTCGAGTCCAAACGCCGTAACAAGCCCAACACGCTCACCGCAAGGACGTCATCCCTCAACATCCAACATGTCCCTTAGCGCCTTTTCAGACGCTCGGAGCCATCTGCCTCTCTCTTCTAGTTCATCTCCGATTCCACCGCCCTCTTCCTTCCGTCTCCGGGCCTCTCTAGCTGCCGCCACGGTTCCCTGTTTCTGCGTCTCCAGCGGCCTCAGCTCGCGCTCCAGCTTCTCCAAGTCTCTGGTTCGGTTCGGGATGGTAGCCTGCAGACTTGCGATCTGCGCATTCAGGGCTGCGAGCTCCGCCTCCCGTTCGCTGAGCACTCGCTGAGTTTCTGGAAGTGGGAGAGACAGCTCAGGGTTCGTCGAGACTGGTGTTTGCTCGTGCTTCAGCTGCTCAATGGTCGCTTCCAGGCCAGCAATCTCAGTCGGAAGTGACTCAAGCTGTTGCGTACGTAGTTGAAGACCCTCATAGCGCAGTGCGAGCTCTTTTCCCTTGTCCTCCAACTGCTTCAGGATCTCGGCTACCTCCAGCTTGCGCTCCTTGAGCTCTGCCTTGAGACCCAGTATCTCCTTTTCCTTCTCGTCGTTCTCGTGAGCGTCGACTAGGCGGGGTGGGTTCTCCGTTATGCTGCGCAGGAACTTCTCCTTGGTGACCTGCTCGACGTAGCTGAAGCGTAGCTTGCTGAAGAGTTCCTGCAACAATGTTAGGCCTGCTCTCTCTCGTGACATTTCGGAGACGCGTACTTTGTAATGTAGTAAGTCAGCCTCGAGGGCAGCCGGATGAGTGTCGCCATTCTGCTCGCTGTCCTCCGACGCCGCCGAGTTGCGCTTCTTCGCGGCCTGTGGGAGATCCTTGGGCGATAGTGTTTCTGCAATAGCGAGGAGCTTGAGTGACTTTGACTGCTGCAACTGTTCCAACACTGCGGCTGGTGTTGGCGCCGCCGATTTCCGCTTAGGTCCCATTGTGTTTGTTGTAAATGAATTGGGGCGGCCTCGAGCCCTGGTTTGTGTCACACTTTGTAGAGATAAAATTTTGTTCTGTCTAATTAATTACTAATAATGCTACTAAACCTAATAATCTTAATAAGTTAAGCAGCCTAACAACGCTAAATTTATAATATACAGCCTATCTGTTCCTATAATAGTAATAGTAGAGCTATAATTACTATCTTTAATAGCTATTTGCAATACTATACTAGACTTATATAACTATTCTTCTAACCTCTATAGTAGCGTTAGACTATATAATAACTACTACTAGTATCTCTATTTATATATTAGATACTATATATAAGACATAAGATCTTCTTTATCTATAAAACGCTCTTCTTACTCTAGACGCAGGCTTAGTAGTTATTGCGTATAGAATTTACCTTTATATTTCTCTTTTACTATATATTCTATAGAGTAGTAATTTAGTCTTTTACTATCTTAGTATCTCTACTACTTAGTATAGCTACTTTTAGGTATTCTTTTAGAGTAGTAGCGTTAATAGTAATAGTATTAAGATACTTAGCGTATATTTATATCTTACTCTTTTTAAGTTCTAAATATATCTCTTTAAAGTTAATAAAAGTCTTCTTATTATAGAATTACTAGACTTAGGTAAAGCTTAGGTTTATGTAGAAGTTAGAGACTTAATCTAAGAGAGTAAGTAAGTTATTAGAGATAGAGTTAATAATGCTATAAGAGCCTACTAAGCTAATAAAGGTAAGTCTTAATAAAGAAGGTGTACTAAAGTGCAGAACTTAAGAATAAGAGTTCTTAAAATTACGTAAGATAAGAATATTAGTATTATTAAAAGTATCTATTATATAGTAATAGCTTTAAAAGTAGAGGTTTATTTAGAGAGGTTCTAATATAGTATAAGTAGTAGTAGATATATAAGAAGATATACTAACTTATATATAAGAATATATAGCATTTCTACTTTATAACCTACTTTATAACTTATTCTAATAGTTCTCTAACTAATAAGCTATAGTTATATTACTATTTTATCTAAATTTTAAGAGAAATAATAAAGTAATTATATTACTTATATAGTAATTTTTTTAAAATAAGCTACTTACTAGGGTATTAGTAGCTAAGCTAGAAAGGCTTAGCGCGCTCTTACATATACCTTAGATATAGAGTACGTGTTAAACTTTATTTTACGCCTTTATAAGACACTTAGTAGAAGGCAGTTACCTATTTAAGACTTAATTTTTTAGATTTAAGATACCTATTACGCTGTTTAAAATAAAACGTAAATGAATTGGAAGATTTAATGTTTGTTTGGGATCGCGAATGCCCGCGCAGGGCTGAGTTCCCCGCGGCGACTACCGCATGCAGCTAGCACGGCCCGCCGCGTGGAATGATTTCACATGGCCGCCCGGGATCTCTCAAGGTCAGACTTCTGCGACCCTTCCTCTCCACCCCAACAACAGTCGCCCACCATGGCCAGGGACCTGAATGACGACGCGTATATTGCAGAGCTGCTGAAAGAGGACGCAAAGAATGCGACCAAGAAATACGAACTCGTTGGCATCGATGCCTTCAACCCGAGGTGCGTCATGAGCCTCCGTACACGCCGTGCAGTCGCATGAGCGTTGAAAGTACATGAGCACTCCATTATGAGACTGCTCATGCTGACATGTTGTAGAATGAAATCTCGCGCACCTAGACCGAACAAGGGCTTCCTGCGACACCTCATCCGACAGACTGACAGCCACAACTCTGCGCTCCTTGCCAAAGAGGCCGCCGAGTCTCGCGCCCGACTCAGAATGATGGATCGAGAAAAAAGACAGGCGGCAGGACAAGGGGACGCATATCCGCCAAGCCGATGGGATGTCGAAAGCGCAGGCAACCAGGAACGGTTGGCGCCATCAGGAAGCGACATCGACCGATGCGAAGCAGAGTCAAGCAGACGACAAGATCGCGGCAAGGATGAGGACAGGCATAGGAGGAGGCGCGATGAAACAGAGGCAGATGGTTCGACGACCCCGAAGTCTCGCCGGCATCGAGACCGAAGCAGAGATGGACACCGACACAAGAGGAGACATGATAGTGAGGAGGAAGACCATTCCAAACGGAAACGGAGACGATCAAAGTCGCCCCGAGACAGATCGCGTAAAGACAAATACACCAAAGAGCAAGAACGCTACAAGCCCCGGGGAAGAGACCACAAGGACCGCGAGCACGCAGGGCGCACATCGCACTGGCGAACATCTTCACGGTCACGATCACGATCACGATCACCTCATTCCTCAAAGCACAGAAAACACAGCCGACACCGAGACCGGACTCGCTCCCTCAGCCCAAAACGCAAATCCACCACCTCCAAACCACCCAAACCCAGCCGCCACACCACCAAGCGCTCCCCCTCCGCTGCATCCTCCTCCTCCGACCCCCTCGAAGCCATCGTCGGCCCCCTCCCTCCCCCGCGCTCACCGCCCGTTCGCTCCAAAGGCCGCAACGCGTACAAACCGCAAAACGGCGGCATCGAATCGCGCTTCTCCTCCACCTACGATCCCACCATGGACGTGCGCCCGGCATCCGACGCAGAAGACGACTGGGGCGACGCACTAGAAGCACTGCGTGACCGAGCGCGCTGGCAGCAACAAGGCGCCGATCGACTGAAACAAGCCGGGTTTACGGATGATCAGGTGAGGAAGTGGGAGAGGGGGGATGTGCAGGGGGAGGAGGATGTGGTGTGGAGGAAGAAGGGGGAGGGAAGGGAGTGGGATAGAGGGAAGGTTGTTGATGAGGAGGGGGATGTGGAGGTTAGGGCTGATTTTGGGAGGTTGAAATAAAGGACTTTCAGGATTGAATTCAGAATTGCGTTCTTAAGAGATAATTGCTATTCCGAGATAAGGTACATTGTCTCTCACACTCCTGTTCCCTTTCCACTCCAATCGTTACTACTATTACACGTCCCATCCCCATCCACTCCTCCTCCCCCTCCTACTCTACTCATCCCACTCACTCCCAATGCCTCCCCACCAACCCCATCTTCCTCCCATCCACTCCCTCCTCATAACTCGCACTATCCGAACCCCTATCCGAATCCGTATCCGGGAAACTCAAATCACTACGCAGAGTCTCGACGTCTGCTTTGTCGCCTACGACTGTCGTGTCGTCGTCGCCGAAGGAGTAGCATGGGTTGCGGGGAGGGAGGCGTGTGGGGCGGGAACTTGAGGCATTGTTGTTCCTGTTGTTGTAGTTGGCGGTGTGAGTGTTGAAGTCGCGCTGGGGAATTGGAATCTTGGGAGGTGGTGGTGGTGGTATTGGGCGTCCAGCGTACGTATCTGGATAACGATGATGGATGCCCTGCGGCGAACGAGGCATCACATCCAATTCCACTGGATACGTCGGATACCCTGTCATACCATTATGACTCGTATCCGGCATCCTCGCTGGCATATTATCAAGTTCAACCGCCATCCTCCTCTCCCCTTCTTCCCGTCCAGCCCCAACCCGTTCAATCTCCTCATTCGAGCTCGAGAACCCAGACCACAACCTCGGTATCAAGTGCCCCGTCCCCTCATTCCCACCATTCCCATCATTCCCATCATTCCCATCATCCCCATTCCTCCTCAGCACAGCATCCAAGGGCCCACTGATACTAAGCTGCTTTCCCGCTCGCTCTTCCTCCGGCGCCCCGCTTGTGCCGTCTAGGAAACTTCCTTTTGTAGGGGTCCTGATGAGGAAGATTGTTATAAAGACGAGAGCGAGGGAACCGAGGAGAGCGCTGATGGCGAGGGATGCGGGTTCGATGGCAGGGTGATGTGGGGAGGGGAGGAGGACGGGAGGGGGTAAGAGCCAGAGAGTGGGGAGGGGGGTGGGTGGTGTTGAGGACATGAGGAGGATTGTGATACTGGTGATGCTATACTGTGGGTGGGAGGAGGAGAGTGAGTCTGTCTAAGGTGTTGGCAGTGATGCGAAACCAGGATATGGGAGTATGTACTTGGCAATTGATTGTTGCAAACGCTGTTATCTGCTCTTCACGTCTGCAGCTCTGGCACGGTGTTGTCTGTGAATTTCTAACGACAATCAGAAAAACGGAGATGAAGATACGCTTGAGAATAGATCGTCCCAGTCGGCTAGATCGAGCTGTATCGCATCGTGAACTTGCGATGAAGGTTGGTGCTCCCGCAAGGCATTCGAGGATGTAACTTGGAACGTCTCCAGCGCAATCTCCTTATCCACACATTTTGGATTTCCTTCTCTTATTCTCTCAGCACCTCGATACTTCCCCACAATCTGCATGAGAGACTCGTGTAATTTCGCTGCTGCGAGTGAATCTTCTCTCGCATCCGCAATCATCTGCAATCCTTTCGCCAAATCATTATCTTGTTCTAGCTCGGCCTGCAGTTCGCTAGATCTGTTGAGGCAGGCGTCCATGAGTAACGCAATAGTAGCAATGAAGATACTGTACAGACCAGCTGGAGGACGTTGTGGGCGATGCGCGAAAGGATGACGCGACCGTAAAATTTTTATTTCGAGGTAGATGAGTTGGCTGGCTGAGTAGAGACAGGCGGTGCGGGAAGACGGGCTTGTTGAGATGGCCATAGATGCGGGTGGGCGGGTGAGAGAGGTGAGGTGTAGTTTACAGCGCTGGGTGTGGATGAGCGTGTTGAGGAAGTAGGCTTGGATGAAGGTGTGGTTTGGCTTGCCGGAGGAAAATGTGTTGTCGTAGGAGTCTAGCAGGAAGAAAGCGGGTGTTTCGTGCATCATGTCCACGAGCTGTCTGTCCATTGCCATAAGGTGAGCATCGCGTTTGGACGGATCCGATGTGATCTGGTCGACGAAGTTGCGTGAGATCTCTGCTAGACGGATGCGCTGGAGGAAGTATGACATGTCTGTGTGCTGGGAGAGTGGCAGAGATGGTTGGGGCCCGACAGCAAGTAGATCTACGTCGTTGATGTTTAGGGGCTTGTTTACGTTCATATGAAGGGGACTGGATTGGTATACGCCTTCGCTGGGACCGCCGTATCTTGCTGCAAGAAGCCTGTGCAAATCTGTCAGTCTACTTTATACCATCAATGAATCAAGTCTTCTCAAGTCAACGTACCAGTCCGTAGCAGTCAGATACCACCAAACACGACGACCAACCTCTGCTTTGAGCGTACCTGCCGCATCGACATTAGATATATGATCGATCTGATGCAGACCCATTTCCCGACCCAGCAACAAGCCAGTCGAGATCAAGGAGCGGTATCGTAGAGAGACACCCTCTATATTACACAAGACGTATGATAGAATGATGATGCCTTGTATAGCCTCCAGAGCCAGCGACCGCCCCTCTTGCAATGTCTCGAGTACAGTGTATGTCGCCTTGACCCAAATAGATGTCTGAGAGCGCGCTTGGGTCGAGGAGATAAAAATGGGGCGTTCTCTGTCCAGTCCGTTCGGTACACTCCATACATGTGTTGTATGAGCGATGATGCTTAGTAGTAAAGCTACTTTGCTGGGATCGGTAGGCTCACAACTTTCGATCGAGCAGTATATTTCGTTGAAAATCGCTGGCAGGGAGGGATAATGCGTTACATGTTGAATGTAGTTGAGCTCAGTAATGTAGATGTCGAGGAGTGTCATAGCTTCTTCCTTTAGGGGTAGCCATATACGTGGCATTATTCGGCCGAGTTGCGTTGTGTAGCTCAGTGTTGATGGTATTGTACGGATCGGACCGATCTCAAAGGTGATGTGGTTTGTGGTAGGCAGTTCGAAAGAGCTCTGACTTATGGAGACACCTTCGAGGTGTTCTACCATTTCTCTCGTTTCCTGTATCCTGGAAGGCCGGTGCCTCTCGATTTCGTCTGGAGCGGTTCCAGAAACGAAGGCCGTTCGGACACTTTCTCTGTCATCATTGCCCGCCTGCGGAGGGAAGGTAGTCTCTCGTATGATACGTTCTTCGAGCTCTCGCACACGAGTTTGAAGCGCAGCTATCTCAGCCTGCATGTCAGGTCTTCCGGTTGAAGATAAAGGTGTTTGGACGCTCTCATATGGCTGTTCCTGTGTGAGGGAAGCCCCGATCGAGACGGGTGTTTGAAGGCTTTGAGCTTCGCGTGCCGCCGGAGTAGGATCAAATTGACATGTCTTTCCTCGTGATCTGCAACTTGTGCATGGTAGCGGTCGATCACAGCGAATCTTGCGCGACCGACAGAAGTTGCAAGAGTATTGTCCTTTGCGATTGGAACGCTCTCGCTCGCCCGAAGCTGGCATGGCGGTTCTTGAAATCCTGGTAGACAATCGCAATGAGAGAACAGTGGCAAGAGATCAAGAAACATGTTCTCTAGGCTGGGGAGGAAGATGGTTGGTCACATGAGGTATGTCTGCAGATGAGTGCCAAGCATACCGCGGGTATTCCGCGGAATACCCGTCAACAGAGAAGCGATGCTGACAGCATATTCCTACCTGGGTACAGTGCCACATGGTTACAGAGTCATTCGTACGCTCGAAGGATTCAGGAGGAAGTCGATCTGAAACGAATTGACCCTACAGACGGTAAGGATTTCATAGGAGCGTACTGTGCAGTGCTTCGGGAGGGTGGCGCTTTAGGATCTCCATCGTGCGGACCTGCTATTCTTCGCTCACAAATATGAACGAGCCGATATGGAGCTGCAAGTAATACATGTAACAGGTCCGACGCTATCGCGATCCGTGTAATAACAGGACAGATGCGGATGTTTGGATTCAGTGATGTGATGCGGAAGTGGCGACCAATGGCAATGGCAATAGCGAGACGAGACGCCGACATTCGCACCAGTCATGCTCGCCAAGACGCAGCCACCATCTGACTCGCATCCAAAATAATTCCATCCTCCACTTCCACCCCATCTTCCCCTCCACCACAACACCAATGTAACCAATGTCATTCATCCCCCGCCATGCCTTCCCGCAAATCCCGTCGCTGCCCCGGTCCTACTTCCTGGGCCACCACAAAGCCGGCCTGGCAAAGATGAAATCGCTCCTCTCGTCCATCGACCTAGTAATCGAATGCCGCGACTACCGTGTCCCACTCACCTCGCGCAACCCTCTATTCGAAGATGCGCTGGAAGGAAAAGAACGAGTCATTGTATATACGAAGAGGGATTTGGGTGGAGGATCGCGCGATAACCGCAATGAGGATGTCATTGCGAAATGGCATCACCCTACTACGACCATGTTCGTGCGGAACGGGAAAGAGGCCGAGGGCGAAATTAGCGGACGGAAGAGCGTGATCAAGCTCCTGGATATCCTGCGCGAACACGCGCAGAAGAGGTGGAAGCTAGTCGGCCACCGCGTCATGGTAGTAGGCATGCCCAACGTGGGTAAATCCACGCTCCTCAACGCCCTGCGCGCGCAAGGAATCGGTCGAGGGAAAGTCGCAGCCACGGGCGCGCAACCGGGTGTAACGCGCAAAGTGAGCAGCAGCGGCGTGAAGATCATACCGAGCGAAGACGACATGGAAGCAGCGGAGGCGGCGGCGAAGAAGAAGCTGCAAGGCGTGGGCGGAGGTGTTTATCTGCTTGATACACCCGGTGTCTTCATCCCGTATGTCCCCGACGCAGAAGCCATGATGAAACTAGCGCTCTGCGGCTCCGTCAAAGATACCATCATCGCGCCTGTTATGCTCGCGGATTACCTGCTCTACCACCTGAATCTCCAGTCGCCGTCGCTATACTCCGAATACGCGTCGCCTACTAACGACATCATCGAGCTCCTTACTGAGATTGCGAAGAAGACTGGTAGACTGGGTAAGGGCGGGGTTATAGATACAGAAGCGACGTCGTTGTGGATGATTCAAAAGTGGAGGCAAGGCAATATGGGACGCTTTCTGCTGGACGAGGTGGACGAGAAGAGTTTGGTGAAGGCGAAGATTGATGAGGAGGGGCTTACGCCTAGTTTTAATCAAGCGAGGAAGGCAGAGCGGGAACGCAGGAGAGAGAGGAATAAGGCGAGGGGGGAGAAGTAGGATGGTGAGGCGGAGTGGAGGTGGGCATGTGGCAACGGGTTGCGCAAAGCGTCTAGTACAGATGTTTAATGCGACCACGGCCTAATGGGACCACGGCTTCAAAGGGATGTCCGCCATACTCATGCTCTGCGATTGTTCTTTACCGCATCCAGGACAAAGGACGGTACAGTTGGCCTATAAGTCAGACCGAAGCCCTCATCTCACAACGCAATAACCCTAGCGAAGTCACCAAATCTTCCTTGAAATCTTTCTTTCCCATCCTTCAAACAGATCTGGGCGCAACATTCCATCTTCTTACACCCCTCCATCCACAAAACTCCTCCTCACATGCCTTACCCCACTCCAAGTCCATCAAAAAACCAGAACTCGCAAAACAAATACATCAATCCGCTCAAACAGCCCCCACCGGACCCCCCACATCAGTCCTACCAAGCATCCTGTTATACGGCGGCGGCTCATCGTGATACGGCGGCGGTTCCTCGGTATGAACAGCCATCTCATACAACCTCGGCGCAGCATCCAATTCATGATACGCCAGCGGCCCCGGCCCAGCTTCGAATACATTAGGAGGTTCAGTTGGAGCAGCCTGCCAATCCGTAACCACCTGCACAGGCTGCGTACACGCAATACCGGACCACTCTCTATCCGCACATCTCCCCGTGATCTCGATCTGGAGTTCGTATTCTAGGTTTAGGCCGTAGCTAGTGAAGCTCGGCGCGATGGTGTTATTGTTGCAGTCTTTTGCGAGTTCGATGTTCGCCACGTCGAGCAGGTTGAGGCCGTCGTAGAGGGATTCGCCGTCACCTGTTTCGTATTTGTGGTCGCAGAGGACGATGGTGCGGCGGTCGGTGTGGTTGGTTACTCTGCTGGGGTGTTTGAAGAAGGCTTCGTTGGGGAGGAAGACGTTGATCTTTGCGTTTAACTGCACTTTTAAACGCCGGATGAAGAGATCAGGTAGGGAAGGCAGCGATTCCGAGCGTTTGGTGTGTTGCACTGTTACGATGGCTGGGAGGGGAGATCCGATGACTAGGATGCTGGGTGGAGTGGCGAGGACGTTGAATTGGGCGTAGGGGATTTCTGCAAAGGACTCGATGCCGAAGAGGAGTTCTTTGTCGGCGAGTTTGTCTTTGAAGCGGCCGAGCTTGCTGGAGTTTTCGCCGTAGTTGGGGAGGAGTTTGCGTGTCCGGATTAGCTTCGCTGCGCTGCAGTGTTTGGGTAGCTTGGTGCCGAAGTTTAGGTCGGGTTGCAGGAGGGAGCGGTCGTAGGGGGGCGCTGGTGGCATGTAGGTGATTTCTTGTCGGACACGCACTGGTGGTGTGCCGGGTAGATCGGACTCCATGTACGCTTCTAGGTGGTACACGACCCGTGGACTTGTGGGCGTGGGACCGTTTAGTGTTGGAGGTAGAGGGAATCCAGGAGAATGCTGGAATCGGGGGTGGTTCCATTGGTCCCCTGGATGAAGCCATACTCTACCTAGACATAGGTGGAAGAAGTCAGTACATGTCTCACATGCAGTTCGTGCAGCGATATTTCTTACCAGCGGGAGGCGGTATCGTAGCATGGTTTCCGAATGTGAAGGAGAAAGGCAGCTCGACTCTGACTGGATCTCTCGCATTATTGGCGCGGAGGTGGAAGTCATCGGCTGCTATTTCGTGTATGTAGAGGAATTGCGATAGTCCATAGAACTCAAGGTGCACGCTTCGTCCATGGGCATCTTCAACGGCAGAGAAGCCTTTTAGACTTATGCTTATGCGTTTAGGTTGTGATGTGGGCACCACGATTAGCTGGCCTTGTACGCAGTCCCCGCTTGTGTAGGTCGGTGGCGGATTGAGCACTTCGATGTAGACGGGATTGTCTCTGCGATTAGCTCGGCTGCCGGTCGCAGCAATTGTTAATACCATGATCAGCTGAAGGACGATGGACGACTGTATGATAAGAATAGGAGAATGATTGTGGTTATGGAAAACAATGGCATTGTATAAGGCTGCCCACGGGGTCAAGTATCGACGGCGATGTCGCTTCGGTGCCGCCCCTGTTCCTCGGGACCTGCCATACCAAGCCCTAGGGTGTCACGAGTGAGAGCCGAAGTTCCATCTTGGTATTCAAACCCGGGTTTGATTGTCCTGGACGCCCTATGGGCCTAAAGACCCGCGTATCAGCACCGGTGGCTCAGCCTCGATGCTTCGACAAGCAAGACTCGCGAGATCGCCGTCAAATCTCCGTCTGTCAGGCCTGCCGTGGTGTTGCAGGTGTCTTGCGCGATGACGAGGCGCTTTGTGGTGATGCTCATTGGTGGTGTTGGCGGCGCCGGGGTCGTGCCGTCATCGATGGAGGGCGCGACTCGCGACTTCTGGACTTTTTGACCCTCTAGCAGCCCACGCCCGTCCCAACCAACACGGCCAGCCATGTCGTCCAGCTACACCTGCACGGCCTGCTCCAAGGCCCTCTTGAGGTCCTCTACCTCGCTGCTCCAGGTACACAGCCACAACCCCCTCCCCAAAGCGGATAATTGACTCTCGTAGCGAACGAATCGAGCGTCTCTGCGCCAAGCACGTCGAACAATCTCCACCACCTCACCCACCGCCTACCATGCCTCGCAATCGCTGTCAGCAGATGTCAGGCCCGAAGCGATCAAGAAGCCGCACCCAGCTGTTGCGTCGGGCGTGACTGGCCTCGCCCAGAAGCTGCGCGAAAAGGCACCGCTGATGACCGAGACGTACGTCGCATACGGCGCAACACGAGACCTCATCAAGGAATGCACGAAGCCCGGTGAATACAAGATACCCCAAGCGCTGCTGAAGCGGGGCGAGATACCCGTCGACGAGAACGGTGTGCACCTGGGCGAGGCCGAAGGGTGGTGGTATGACAGTAAGTACTCACAATGAGAATACCCAGGCCTTTCGCTAACGTATTATTGCACAGCCCTCGGACTCAAGCCAACCTTTTCAAATTGGGCCCAAATCACCTTCATCCACATGTACATGCTACAAGTCCGCTTCCGCATGTTCCCCCAGTCACACGCACCGGTATGGATCCAGCACCTCACCAACCAAGCCTTCTACGCCGCCGAGGACAGACTGGTCATATGGCACAAGTTCAACGCCAATTCGCTGCGTCAGAAGCATCTCAAAGATATGTTTTCGCAGTGGCGGGCGGTGCTGCTGTCATACGACGAGGGGCTGATGAAGGGCGACGCTATGCTTGCGGCGGCTATCTGGCGTAATCTGCTCGGCGCAAAGGAAGATGTTGACTTTGAGAAGCTGGCCCAGATTGTGGGGTATATGCGGAGAGAGCTCAAGAGGCTGGATAGTGCTACGGATGATCAGGTCGCAGATGGGACGTGGACGTTCCGTGGCAGTCCCGGAGACGAGGCGCCTGTTGTTAAGGCGCCGAGTAGGATGATGGCGGCTGAGACTTCCAAGGCGTGATTTATGAACGGCACGAACGGGATGTAAGAGAAGAACCATGTATCAACAATATGTATATATCTTATGAGAGATGCGATATGGAAACAAGCCTGTTCATATTCCTGCACATTTCACTCATGCGCCTGCATACTCAAGCTCAACGCCTTCTGCAAGTCTCCATCGTCTTCACCCTCACTAGCTGAAGCTTGACCTTTTCCTTTACTTTGATGAAGCGCCTCTAAAAGACTTTGCTTCTTGACATACTCCATCACAATCTCTTCTTCTGTCTTTTCTTCCATCGTCTTCTCTCCTCGGTGCTGCGCCTGATACTCACCTTGCGTTGTGCCTGCGACATGGCCAGGATCATATGAAGGGGGTCGATGGCCGCCTGGCGATCCATCACTCGGCGTAGCTGCCATTTGCTCTGATGTTCCTGCTCGCTCCCTATCGAGATCTTCACATCCATTGTCTTCGTTCATCTGACACTGTTCCTGGCGACTTTGCGCGATGGCTTGCTTCAGCTGCTTTTCGTATTCCAGGGCTTCTCTTAAGTGTTGCTGCGCTTCGACTTCGCTGGAAGCCATCGCCTGGAGTAGTTCCCCACTGGAGTCCGCTTCAGCGTCTGCGCGTAGTTCGTTTTGTACTGGCTGATCGATGGACCCGCCAGTCTCCGCCGCTCCGAGCGGTACTTCGGGCTCGGTATCCATAGTATACGAATTGTACTCCGATGTGAGTGTGGCACTTTCAAGATCTTGGATAGAAGCATCCGCAGACCGGACTGAATCCGCAGTAGACTCATCACCCACCTTTCCCTTCCGCTGCGCATCAAGCACATCCTTCATCATCTCATCGAGTCCATCTTTCTTCTTCAAATACTTCTGAATCAACCCCCACCTCTCAACAACATCCTCCCTCTCCTCCTCCCCACTCTGCACCCACTCCTGATACCCCTGCGCCGTCCGACTCGTAACAATATACGTCTGCACACTACTCCCAAATCTCTTCTGAACCTCCTTATGCACCCCCTTCATCATATGACTCGGTATCCCGAACAGCGCCGCCCCCGGCTTAGCTATAAATCCCCCAATCCCCTTTCCAACCCCCTTGAAGAATCCACTGGCGCCTTCTTTCTGAGCACCCTTCCAGGGCTGCGTGAAGAGACCGGTGACGCCGTCGTACCAGCCGAAACCGAATTCGCGGCCTATAGCTACCATGCCGGATTTAAGGTCAGAGACTTTTTCTTGGGGCCGCACGGTGGTGTCGTTCCAGAGTTTGGGTGCGTTGTGGAAGCCTTTTGTTATGCCGACAGATAATTCCATGGGGGATTGGACGCCGGCTTTTACAATGCGGCCGAAGCCTCTGCTTGTGCGTAGGCCAGTGGGGCGTAGCATGTCATTGTCTTTGCTGGAGCTGGATGCTACGCTGGGAGTCCGAGATGTCGGAGTGGGGAGGTTGGGGGTGGTCTGAGAGCGGGCAAGCGGTTTCCGCTCCATTGCGCTGGGATGGGGGTGTTGTTGTGAGCTTGAGGAGGCGGAGCTTTCTCCTACAAGCGAAGGTTCGCTCCTCTTTGCGGCTTTCCGTATTGAAGTGTCGGACTGCTGTCTACTAGGTCCAAATGGAGCTTGAACTGCCTTCGCCGTCTCTGAAGGCATTTCAGCTATTCCCATGCTCATGCTGCCCAGCGTTCTCAGTATACCCATACCAAATCCAGAGATAGGCTCCAGAGGACCCTCATCAGTCTCGTATTCTTGCGCCCTAAAGAGTTTGAGGTCATGGAAATCCAGAAGATTGGCATTTGCCAAAGTGCACGCAGCGAAAGCGCTCAGTCTGATTTGAGTGCGTTTGATACGCCACACGGCTACTCGAGATGGTGCAAGGGCGCAACGGAGCCGGTCGGGATCGAGATACTGGTGGAATGACTGGGCGCCCATGTCACTGCCGCGCTCCGTAGCGATCTTACTTGCAAGGTCTTTGGCACGCTCGAGACTTTCGGGCTTTAAGCAGAAGTTGATGGCATCTGCTAGTTTGTCCGATGTGAGTTGCCGGTAGGGAATTGGATCGGGGCCGGCGCCAGCTCGTGCGATCATTGCGCCCCAGAAGGGTTGATCACCGAAAAACGGGATGACTAACGTAGGTCGGCCTGGAGTAAAGTCAAAAGGTCAGCTTTTGGTTGATTCATCGCTCGTGAGGCACATAACTCACCTGCTGCAATGCCTGCCGCCGTAGTACCCGCGCCACCGTGGTGAACAACACATTCGACGTGCTTGAAGAGCCAATCATGAGGCACATTCCCTAACATGAAGACGTTCTCGGGAACACGAAGTTCCTCGGCCCCCATACCTCCCCAGCCCTTGGAAAGCAGTACACGTCTTCCGCCTGCAATCCTTTTCGTGGCCTCGAAGATTAGTTCAGTCATGGCATTCGGATCGTCCAAAACGATACTTCCGAATCCAATGTACACCGGCGGTGGTCCATCATCAAGGAACTTTTGCAGCTCAGGCGTAGGCGTGTAATTAGAGGCCAGATTCAAGAAGTAGAAACCAGAGATGGATATGTGAGAGCCCCAGTCCTTCGGTTTCGGAATAAGAGCTGGAGACCAGCAGTATGTGTGAGGAACCTTGAGGCGCTGGAGCATTCCTGGGGCCCAGATCATACTCACGGGCTCTAAGCCGAGGCACTTAGCGCGAAAGCGGTTGATGATGTCGCCTAAGCCTTGCCATGAGAGGGCTTCGATCATAGCGTAACTGATGTAGTTGGTGAGTTGAGTATCGGCGTTCGAAGACTGGATGTTTGCCAAAGGATGAGGGAAAGCCTGAGTGGGAGAGTATGGCATGGTGAACATGATATGCAGGGGTATTCCCAGCTTCTCAGCGCAATGAATATGCGCAAAACTCGGTGGGTTGGCAATGATACAATCCGCGACGAAGGGGAAAGAACCGGCGTCGTTTGCGGAGCGATCTGAACGATGGTCGTCGGGCATCCCATCACCCGTTTCGTAGCACGATCGCCAGCAGCCTTGGATGTATTCCGCGACATCTCTTCTCCGGCGACCGACATCCCCGCTGGCCAGACTACGGAAACCGGGCATCAACCCGGGATTCTTGACCATGAAAGCCATCAGCTGAGAAGGGTCGCCGCCGATGCTGAAAAACTCCAAGCCGTTCTCTTCTACAAACTTCTTGAAAGTAGGATGAGTTGCCAGACGAACACGATGGCCATAGGTCTCTTTCAAGACTTTCCCGAGAGCAACGAAAGGTTGCACGTCTCCGCGCGAGCCGACGACCTGGATGACCACATTTAGGGCTGGGGGTGGAACTCCTTCTTTACCTCCTAATGAAGGTGGTATGTATGCAGGGGGAGGCGGGCTGCTGTCTTGAACACTCTGAACGTGTTCACGTAAAGCTGGAGTAAAGACCTGAGATAACCGACGGTTGAGCTGGTTGATGCGGATGTTGACACGGCCGTCTTCGGTGACGCTTGCGCTGGTGCCTAGG